ACTATGTGGCAGAAATAGCACTAAATCTGTTTATAAAGCTGTGGCTATCAAAAGAGAAGGTCGATGAAGAGAATCGATCAAAGTCACTTACACCCCTTTCCTTCTAACCCCCTCATATATAAATAAATATATTGCCTTGTTCTTACTGTAAGCCTTTATTATATGTTATTCAGATATGACCATAGAACATGTATAATTTGAAATTTTCGCTCCACAATACTTAAACGATTCCAAATCTGATCCTGACTAACCTCTCAAAATTTGAACTCATTTGGTGAGAAACTGAGATGGCACAAACCATTTGAAGTTTGTATGGGAATTACTATGGTAAAACCAAGAGAAATCTTTCATGTCTATCTAATAATTCACCATATCGGTTTGCTTCAAAAACTTTCAACTGTACTTGTAGGAAATTTTCCCAGCTACAACTTTGCTAAAGACCATTTTTTGATTAAATGCAAGGATCGAAAGTTATAAATTGTTCAATGCGCTGATGTCTTATGATCATGCTCAATCAACTGATCAGCAGGCAACATTGGTGTTTCTGGGGCGTTGAATAGGACTCAAAAATCATGGCTACTATGTCACACTGCAAAATACAGTGTTGCCTACAGAGCAGCTGCTTGATCATGTCATAAGTTTACCAATCTCTTAAATAATTAATAACTTTTTTTCTGTCTCGTTTTACATAGAAACGATCTTCAGCAAAGTTGTAGCTGAGAAAATTTTCTGAAAGAATTACTATCGAACTGTTTCGCAGCTCAATGTGGAAAAAGACCAGAAGGCAATGAACAAAAAGTTGTGATTTCCCATAGTAATTTACATGTAAACTTCAAATGGTTTGTGCGAAGTCTATTTTTAACCAAATGAGTTGTAACTTTTGGAGGCTAATCAGGACCCGATTTGAAACCATTTAAGCACTGTGGAGCGAAAAAGTCAAATTTTGCATCAGTCTAATGTACATGTACCCAGATCACATGTTTCCAAGTTATATTGAACAACATTGCAAGGCTTGTAGTAGAAGCAAGACGAGACATTCAGCAATAAATTTGTATAAGTTTGACAATGTTTTGTAATAGAGGTTCTATTATACACTATCATTGAATACAGCATCAATTTCATAATACTCACGCTCTAGAATGCAAATTATTTCGGATGGAAATGAAGAATTATCGCTTCTCTTGTTGTTGACTTGCCATCTTCGCGAGTAATGTTTAGCATTTGCGTTTTGACATTTGCTTCCAAAAGCAAAACTAATCAAATTCAATGGATGAAAACAGTGGTGCCAATTCAAATGATGATCATTTTGATTGAAAGGTGTTATACAGTACATATTTTTCAACGACAAATCACTTTGTTTCCGAGGGGCTGTCCGAGTTTGTTTCAAAACGAAAATCACTTGAAAATCAATGATAAATCACTTCGTTTCGTAGTGCCATATGACAGACTAAGTCAAGTGCAAGAGCATTTGGATTAGATGTGACAACTTTTACCGTGTAGCAAAAAATTGGTGATGACGAAAACTCCTAAAAAATTGATAATATCAAGCTGAACATTGAATTAGGTCCTACACACTTAATCTAGCTCGGTAAAATCTCCAACAGCCGATTACCTTGGCATTTACTTTTGCTGATATCTTTGCAAAATATCTGTTTGTTAGCTGATATCTCAGCAAAATGTTATTTGTTAGCTGAGTCTCGGCAATAATTTGACTGATTCTCAGCAAAATAATTTGCAGAACTACTCGGCTGTTGAAACCTCGGCGGATAAATTTAAGTGTGTAAGTAACATTGACAGATTCTCTTCGTCGACTTTCTCTTTGTATCCTCATGGCCATGTACATTACTAGGTATTTGCAGCACACAGATCGATAAAAGAAGCTTTTATCTAGCATCTAATACGACAAACACAACAAGAATCTTTTATGAGCTCAAGCTATTAACGAAAGAGAAAGTCGACAAAGTCGATCAATGTTACTTAGGACCTAATGCAATGTTCAGCTTGATATCATATTATGAACAAAGTGGAGTTTGACGTCACGGAAGGTATACTTCACAAACACTATGACAAATTTTGCACTACACACCACATTTCATAAATCTAGTTCGGCACATGGTGGGTATATAAATGGTGATACAGCTTTGTCACTATAAAGGGTGATACGGTCAAAATTTGGTCAATATCAACTTGACGTATTTCTTTCAATTTTGCATTTAAAAAACCTGAACACCCCTCATTTTGAAGGTGTGTGTGTGTAGAATGTTGCTCCTATTTTGATTTTAAAATTCACTCTTCAGTTGTCAAAATGCCGTCCAAGCAAGAAGAGCAGCGTATCAAAATTTTGCTCGCGCATCGCGAAAATCCGAGCTACTCGCACGCAAAGTTGGCAAAATCGCTAAAAGTTGCCAAATCAACCGTTACAAATGTAATTAAAGTGTTTGGGGAACGTTTGTCGACAGCCAGGAAGTCTGGATCGGGGGAAATTGAAAACCGGAAGCCGGTGAGACGACAAAGAGAGTTGCCGGTAGTTTCAAGCGAAACCCTAACCTCTCTCTCCGAGATGCCGCAAATAAGCTGGGTGTATCGTCTACAACCGTGCATCGAGCCAAAAAACGAGCCGGACTATCGACTTACAAGAAGGTAGTGACTCCAAATCGCGATGATAAACAAAATACGACGGCCAAAGCGCGATCCCGGAGGCTGTACACGACGATGCTGACGAAGTTTGACTGCGTGGTAATGGACGACGAAACCTACGTCAAAGCCGACTACAAGCAGCTTCCGGGACAGGAGTTTTATACGGCAAAAGGAAGGGGAAAGGTAGCAGATGTTTTCAAGCACATGAAACTGTCAAAGTTCGCAAAGAAATATCTGGTTTGGCAAGCCATCTGTACCTGTGGCTTGAAAAGCAGCATTTTCATAGCTTCCGGGACTGTCAACCAAGAAATTTACGTGAAAGAGTGTTTGAATAAACGTCTGCTGCCTTTCCTGAAGAAACACGGTTGTTCCGTACTGTTTTGGCCGGATTTGGCATCTTGCCATTACGTTAAAAAGGCCATGGAGTGGTACGCCGCCAACAACGTGCAGGTGGTTCCCAAGGACAAGAACCCTCCCAACACGCCAGAGCTCCGCCCAATTGAGAAATACTGGGCTATTGTCAAGCGGAACCCAAAAAAGAACCAAAAAAAATGCTAAGGGCGAGCAGCAGTTCAAGGCAAACTGGCTTTCTGCGGCGAAGAAGGTGGACAAGGTGGCTGTACAAAATCTGATGGCAGGGGTCAAGCGTAAGGCCCGGCAATTCGGATTTGGAAAAGCGGAAGCCTAACTGAATATTTTTCCTGAATTTTATACTAATTGAACTTGAAAAAGAAATTTAATTTGATTTTTTAAATAAACGATTTCACCGATTTACACGCGTTTTCCCTTGACCAAATTTTGACCGTATCACCCTTTATAGGCGAGGAGGTCGCGGGGGGAAAAATGCGGTTTTAGAGAAAATTGCAAACAAACTCGGTCGCTGTCCCATACAAAAATCCAACATGGCTGAATCACGAATTTGACACATTAGAACACCTATATGTAGCCACCTTGGTTCGGTACATTTTTTTACTGGATTCGTTCTGTAAAATACAATTTTTACCGAAAGCTTTGTAAAAAATATTGTTTTACCAATTTCCGCAATCAAAATTACTGAATTTCCGTAATTTACTGAAATTTACCATAAACTGTAATTAAACATTTCTGAATAAAACTGTAAATGGCTGAAGTTCCGCAATACTGTAAAAATTGTGACGAATGAACTGTAAACCTAAAATATTAATATAATACAAACAGTATCTGCTGTACGAGAGTTTTGTAAAAATTACAGAACATTTTGTAAACTTCATAATATCAAACCCGAGATCAAACTCAACTTTTGCTGCCATTTCTAAGATGAGTTTTCTTCAGTGCTCCGTTGTTAAAAGTACACGGCGAATGAAAACGACTCAAATTTGAGTTTAGTTCACTCATAATCGCCAAAAGTGCAGGAACTCAGCGATGAGTAAAATTTGTCTACTGGTTTCCTGTGGAAAACCTAAAAAATTTGCCGGAAAATGAGGAAATTGACGAAAATTTTATTCAGTCTCGGAGTAGTACCAATAGAGTGAGTGAATCCAATGTTTACTTTTCTCAAATTCGGGAACTTTTCCCTGGAAAATCCTGGAAAAACCTAGGAAAACATGAGGCAAATAAGCCCTAATAAAAATGTTATGGTTAATTTGCTTAACGACGTGTTCGGGGTATCATCCAAACCATTTGTGGAATAGTTCAATCATTTGGGTTATCGTTCGTGTATGGTAATTTTTTATTAGAGAGGCGATGAGTTAGCTGAGTTCCTGCACTTTTGGCGATTATTAGTGAACTAAACTCAAATTGGAGTTGTTCTCATTCGCCGTGTAAGTACTTTACTTTTTACTACAATCCATTCGCTGAAAGTATAATTCTTTTTCATTACTGGGCAGGATTTGATAGTACCTTTTCAATTGTTGGTCTAAAATACATTGAATTGGTTCCACTTGTTGATAGATCGAAATTTTATCCGGCAGACTATGAATATAGCGACTATATTCACCAGGGGCTGCACACATAAAAGATAGATGGAAATTCAATTATCAAATCAACCCCGCTAATCCGGACACATATTTTGTTGGATTAGCGAGGGGATACTGTAGCTAGGGCTTAGTTTTCCTCATTCTCACATCTCACTGTTCTTTTGAGCATCATCATCGCTCTCGCGTTTTTCTCAATTTCTCTCTGGAACGCTCTCTTTCTCTCTCTCTCTTTCTCTCTCTCTCTCTTTCTCTCGATTCACGTGCAATTGCTCAATGGCTGCATTCTGGTTTTGTTTATGTTTGTAATTGACCGCATTTTTCTGAGAGGCATTTTTTGTAAAAAAAATTGTTGCGAAATTTCCGAGTTAACCACCTTCTTTGCGAAACATTATTATTGTAAGAATTATAATAGGAATATTTTTAATTTATCAAGCGGCGGGATGGTGCTTTCGAAGAATGCCGAAAAGAAGATTCACAAGAAAATCAAACGGTGCCAGGTGCTGATAGCTCGCGAAACGGAACTGGAATTCAGCGATTTGCCAACAGAGGTTTGTTTTGCAAAATATGTAAAGACAGTATTACAAAATCTCTTACTTTCATCAGTACATTGTGATTTGCAACGCCGGTCTTTCCACCGGTCTCCAGCAGGAAGTGCTTCTCGAGGAAGTTCTCCGTTATGGATCGACGTCAGTAGAAGATATAGCTTTCCCAACCGGCAAGTCCTACTGCTATCTTCGCTTCGAATCCGCTCAAGCATCCCAAGCGGTGTATGACTCCATGAATGGAATCGCTACCCTAGGACAGGATGGATGCGTCCTACTAATGTCGTACTGTCGTGGACTTCCAGCGGGTGGTAGTGATTCTAAAGAACATGCCCTGCCGGCAGGTCTGATACTGATTGCAGACTTTCTCAACGAAGCTCAGGAAACGAAGTTATTGGAAGCGATTGATTGGGAGCAGGAAGAAGAAGTCAATAGTAGCTTGAAACATCGTCGGGTAAAACACTTTGGCTATGAGTTTCTCTATGGAACGAACAACGTAGATAGGAGTAAGCCTTTACAAAGGAAGATTCCTTCCGTATGCGAACAAATGTGGGTGAAATTGAAGGAACTTTATCCAGACCTTGGATGGCACGTCCCGGAGCAGTTGACGGTTAATCGATACGAACCAGGACAAGGCATTCCACCGCACGTTGATACGCATAGTGCTTTTGAGGATCCAATCATTTCGCTTTCCCTCGGAAGTGATATAGTAATGGATTTTCGGGACACCACAGGACAACACTTGAATGTGGATTTGCCCCGAAGATCTCTGCTCGTAATGTCCGGCGAAAGTCGATACGGATGGACTCATGGCATAACGCCGAGAAAGATGGATACGGTAAGGTTGAATGATAGCCTAACAATTAGGAAACGTGAACAAAGGGTATCGTTTACGTTCAGAAAGCTGAATGACGGCCCTTGCCGTTGCCGGTTTAGTTCTCTGTGTGATACGTATCAACAAGAAGCGAAGGATAGAGCTGATCGTATCAAAGAGAACGCTGCCCAATTGGAGCTGGAGAATGTTCATAAGGTTTACAACGAAATCGCAAAGCATTTTAGCGAAACGAGGCACTCACCGTGGCCACGAATTGCAGGGTTCTTGGAATCGCTTAGTCCCGGGTCCGTCCTGCTGGACGTTGGATGCGGTAATGGTAAATACCTGGGGTTGAATCCTCAGATCATCAGCTTGGGTTGCGATCGAAGCGACGGATTATTGAAAGTTTGCACCGAACGTGGCTTCAATGTGGTACAATGCGACTGCCTAGCGTTACCTTTTAAAACGGCATGTGCGGATGCTTGCATCTGCATAGCCGTTATCCATCACCTGGCATCGCTGGAACGTCGTAGGCAAGCGATTGGGGAAATGTGTCGAGTACTTCGCCCAGGAGGACAGGCACTGATTTACGTTTGGGCCAAAAATCAAGAAGCCAATGCGAAAAAATCAAGCTATCTACGGCAGAACAAGCACAACAATAAACCACCGCGGGAGGGTGAGCCGGAGAAGGTGGTTCCGATTGAACATGGCGACGGGGAATCGGTGTTGCCAATTCACACCAACAGGACGCAGTTCCAGCATCAGGATTTGCTTGTTCCTTGGAAGTTGCGTGACGTAGAACGGCAGCAGCAGGAAGCGAAGGTAACTTTTCTAAGGTATTACCATGTGTTCGAGGAAAAGGAATTATCCGAATTGTGTTTGGAGGTGGGAGGGATTAGCGTAGAGGATAGTTACTACGACCAGGGGAATTGGTGTGTTATTTTTAGAAAACAATGAATATTTAGACCATTAAGGTGATCGATCGACTTGACTTCATCCGAAATGTGCCCCCGCAATGTAGATTTATTTAAAATAGCAGTTCATTTATTCATCATCAATTGCTTTCACTACACTGTAGAAATTGACCAACTCATCATAGTTATAATTCTCCAGCAGCTCTATCAACTGCGGCAGTTTCGTTTTCACATTGACCCCTTTGAACTTGAACTTATCGATGTACAGATCGGTCAGAATCCCGTAGATGCGGTTCAGTATCGTGGGCTGCTTCTTAAATTCGGTTTCGATCTGTCGCTGATTTTTCAACAAATCCCGATATTCTTCAGACAGGGTTTCGAACTCTTCATCGTTTCGAATGTCCAAATCGATCAGTGCCTGAAGTATCTGGTAGTCCTTCGTCAGCTTGTTGTAGTGAACGATCTTCGGTTCGATCAACTTGATTAATCCGGGAATGGTTTGCTCGTTGATATCTGAAAATGGGAGCTACGCAGTTATCAATCAAATCGAATTCGTTGAAAGCTGTTACTTACTGGTTGAAATCTCCAGCTTGATCCGTTTCTTGGTGGCTTCCTTCGTAATAAAGTCCTTCAGAATCGAAATGGTAGAAATGTTGTCGCTTCTGAAGTTCGCTTCCGCCTTCCCGTATTCGCAAATCAGTACCGTTCCAATGAAGACGTGACGGAAAACGAGCCGGTTCCTTTCGTTTCCATAAATCTTTTCCGGTATTTCCGGGATACTGTTCATCAACCAGTTGTGCATTTCAGCCTGACTGAAGGCGCCCTTTAGAGTGAGCACATTCATAGGTCTAGATGCCATCTCGTCTGGGAGGTTCTGAACGATCATATGCAGCGATAGGGGCTGGATCGAGTAGCGCTTGACTTGACAGCACTTGGGCTGCAGATTCGGTGTTATGTACACTTGAAGAGTGCCATTTTGTCCCTCGACAGTGCGGAATTTCAAATCAACTCGGTTGGTGTTGGACTGGCAGCGATAGCTAGCCAGTAGACTGTTCCCGCTCTGGAAAGTTTAAAACTGTTGAATCTGAAAGTCTTAGGGGAAAATCTTACCATCTTATCACACTCGCTGAAGCTGACTACGGCGGAATTCTTCTCCACATCGATTAGGTTGATCGGAGCATCACACTGTAGCAGCACATGTTCGATAGGGGTGGGAATTTCTATGGTCAACGAATACGTGGCGTCCTCTTGGCACAGTATCATGGAATCGTTAACTGGCAGCATTGGGATGGCGGACAGCCCGGTAGAGAGAGCTTGCGTAGATAACTGATACCGTTCGCGCTCCCTGGCGATCGCCTGTTCCAGCTCATAGATCTCTGCACGCAGTTTATGCAGCTTGGAGGACGCATCCGGAGCCATGCTTACGGATCCTCGTTTGTTCGCATCGCTCAAACTTTTGCTAATGCATTGCGTAGTCAAACCGAATACCCTACCTGAATAAGTGCAAACCACAATCTCCGCGTAGCTGTTCGCTCCAATGCAACCTACTTGTACGCTGGAGACGCTCTCGTTGAAGTTCTCCCGGTAGATTTGGGTACACTCCATTTCGAACTGATACTCGTCTGAGTTCATAGTGAACACTTGCAGCGTACCATCTCGGCGTCCAACGATTAATTCGTCCTTACCATCTCCGGACAGGTCGTACGTCGCGATACAGGTAACTGCACTGAGATTCTCCGGGTCCTCGACCAAAGTCTCGCGCTTGACTTCGCTTACCATCAGATTGATATGGAACAGGATTACCTTGCCATCAGCGAAGCCACACAGGATTCTATCGCCGAGGCCCTTGGGAACGTGCAGCACCGTCGGGACACTGTCCAGCTCCAACGTTTGACGAACACGCGAATGCTCCAGGATTCTCAGCACCCGTCCCGAGCAAGCCAGAACGGTGATCAGCCGGCTTGTCTATAAGACGAGAACCAGCATCAGAGACACCAGACACGTGGTTCCGTAACATTTTCTCGAGTGCTATTTGCCCGGGAAAGACTTCTTTTCGAAAATACTTCCATTCTTTGGGAGATCTTCAAATTTAAACTTTCAACATGAGAGAAGCTTGAAGTAGGTGTGTGTCTTCCGGACCAACGAAATTCGGGAAAACATTACAGAATCAAAACCTATTAAAACCCCCACATACTCACATTATTCGGACACAGTGCAGCGACGTCCACGATCGCATCACCGCACAGGTACGACCCAACCTCCTTGCAGTCCTTGTAATGGTTGTACACGTGATTGCCGCAAACCAGCAAATCACTTCCGCTCACAAACATCGACCGGATGTTCTCCGTCAGGTTGGTCTCGAACGCTAGAAACATCTTACCTTTCTTGTTGAAGCCGCGAACCTTGTTCTCTGCGGCCGTGAAGATCTTATCCGGCACCGATCCCATCTGGCCGCCCAGCTTAACCGAGGCGATCTTGTCGTGGGGCAGCGTCTTGAAATGAATCTGCAGCTCATCCTTCTTCATTGAGAACACCTGCAGCACTCCGTCCTGATCACCGACGACAACCTTCTGTTGCTGCTTGCTAGACGATGCATTCCGGCTGGACGAGTCTCCTCCAGCTGCCGACGATGATGGTAGTAACTGCAGACAATGTGACGCCGTTAGGCCTACGGTGGTGTAGTCGACATGGGTCAATTCCAGCTCCATTCTGCTTGTTTAGGAAATTTTCACGGAGGCACTTCCTGATGCAATCGGTTGTTTGTTTGTTGGTGGCCCAGGTGAATCCTAGGGCAACCGTGCAACTTGTGGATTGCATGAGTGCGCGCATGGGCAACACTGTAAGGAAAGGTTGCTGCATGTTGGTCTCAACACGTGGTTACTGGCTAGTTGTGCAGTGTGTTGATTTATTTGCACGCGATTTACAAGCTTTTCGTATACCAAAGACATTTGGATCTAGATGTATGATAAGTACACATGCATTTAAAATAATGCATAAATCCTGTGATGAGCAAATCAATGCAATGGCGTTTTTGGCAGGGTTATCAGTGTAAATCGGGAAAAAGTCTGAAATTCGAAATCACCGGAAGAAGCCCGTGAATTTCGGTGACAAACTGGGAAAAAAAATATACTTCGTCCTGCCTTAAAAAAAAAGATTCTGAAACTAGAAAAAATGCAAGGCCCTTGGACTGGGCTAGATTTTCCGGATACAATAACTTCGTAGAACTATTGAGAGAATTTTGATGTAAATTCCAAAGGAGATTAAAGAAAATTTTAGGTAATGTTTGATAAAAATTCAAATGAATAACTCTTTAGGGCCACCCACATTAGATCAGTTTGCGTTGCGTTGACGTAAATTTGACAGTTAGATAATAGATATAGCTGTCATTTTGCCGCAACGCGATTCGATCCGGAGAGAATTTTGAATAGAACTCCAAGTCAATTGTGTGAGTTCAGAATAGAATTTTCGGTGGTTCTCGGAAAATTCTATGAAGATTTTAAAGGGAATTGTAAGTATTTCTAATGAATATTTTAAATATTTTCTAAGAAGAGTTGTTAGGAATTCTAACAAAAGAAATTTTAATAACAAGTTAATTCTAAAGAAAGTTCCAAGTGAATGCTCTGAGAAAATCACATGAGTATCGATTTTTTAGGGTATAACTCAAAAGAAATTCTGAGAAGAATTTTATGGAAATTCCGAAGATAGATCCAACGGTTTTTAGAGAAGAATTTATTGAGAATTCTAATATGAATTCCAGGCGAATGTTCAGAAGATTCTAAAGAAGAACTCTAAGTTAATTCTGAGCAGATTTACAAAACAACTATCACGTGAATTGCATGGAAATTTTAAGAGCATTCAAGCGAATTTTAAATAGATTTATTTAAGAATGCTGCATTGAATTCTTGGCTGAATCATTAACAATTCGAAGGGGTTTATAATAAATTCTATTTTTTTTTTTCATTCAGCCAAGAATTTCTGGACTGTAAAAAAGACATGTAGTCATTTTGAAGGGGCCAGAGAGAATCTCAATTTTTATTTTAGAGGAATTCTGAACCGGCTTCTTTGAAGGGATATGATTCTAAACGGAATTCTTTTTAAAGTTTTGAGCGAATACAGGCACATTTTGAAGCTTTCAAACTCAGACACAAATTCAAGATCCAGGAGCAGCGAATCCAAACACATAAAGCAACCAACGATACAGACAAAACGCTTGCTACGATTACCATGACAAACTCTCTCTGCAACACAGCTCGGTCGGAGTGGTAGAAGGATAATGGCGAATCAAAGCAAAGTCAAAACTAGTCATGCTACACCTAGTTTTTAGATCCGCAATTACAAAAATGATGATGTATTAAAAAAAAAATCATGCATTACCGTCATTACCATTTGCACTCACTCGCCATCTGTGAGTCAATCGTCACTTTGATTCTTCAATATTGCTTTGTTGCAATATACATGGTTGAGGACATAGCTTGATCGGAATCGAGAAAAGACATAGGCCCCAATTATGTAAGTCGAGTCGAGCGTCACTCGACTCGACAGACACTCGACAGGACTATTTTGGTATTATGCAGCAGTCGACTCGACGCGACGCTGTCGAGTCGACGCGATGCTGTCGAGTAGCTCGACTGAATCAGTCACTCGTCAGGTAGTGACTCATCTCTCACTCACATTCTGTCGAGTTGAGTTTGTTGTTATTTTCCCGCGTTAGCTTGCTTGGTGTGAGACATTGTAGTGTTTTTTCTACAAATTTTCTTAAAGAAGTAAGAGTTTTAAGATGCCAAGATGCATGTCGTTACCGACACATTGTTGATAGCTTCCAGTCGCCAGAAATCTTAGCGATGCACATACTTTCAAGACTGGTGAAATAGCCGTATTCCTATACGTCAACTTGAAACTGTTTTTGGTTAAATCTACCAGATACAAAATCGCTTCCTTATTCAACCTGTAAAATTTCACGCAACTGAAAGGAAAAAAAGGTTGTTCAATTGAAATGTAGCACTTCCACACCAAAACGAAAAAAATCTGATTTACAGTAAAACGTTGCGCGTTCGTTATCACTCAATGCGGCATTTTTCATTGAGATCTTTTTACCCTTCTTCCAAAGAAGGTCAACCCTTTCCTTCCCATGGTAGCACAGGTGATCCACAACTTTTTTGACTTCCTCATGTTTGTCAGCGTGCCATTAAATAGGCAATACTTATCGTATGGCCATTATATTCGACCATACATGGTTTTTGGAATCCAACTGGTCAACTATAGAAAAACAATTAAAATACTATTGATTTTAACCAAAAACTTTTTTTTTATGGATTTGATATTTTAAGGTTATATACAACATTTTTTGTTCCAGCACTTTTCTTAGGAACGCATATTTGTATGTCAAAACTATCAAAAACCGTGTGGGAAGGAAAGGGTTAAGGTACACCGGGGCAAGTGAGAATAAGTAGTTATTAAGGATTGTTACTGCAGATTCCCGCCTGACCTAGTTCAGGGCTATACCTTCACATTCCCTGAGCTTGGCCAAGCGAGAAATTGCGGTAACAATCCTTAATAACTACCTATTCTCACTTGCCCAGGTGTACCTTAACCTTCCTTGAAAGAAGGGTAAAAAGATCTCAATGAAAAATGCAGCATTGGGTGGTAAAGAACATATGCGCAAACATTCATGCAAAAATGATCAAATCTGCTACACTAGTATTTACTTACTCATTGTCTGATAACGACATTGGATTTTAAGTATCGCGACGCATTATAGAAATATTAACCAGCTCCTCTTGGTTATCCTCGTCTTCGAAAAAATCAACACTTGTCCACATCGTTCTCTGGTAGTCAAAGCAGATTGCGACTAACTGGAAGACTACTGAGACTTATTTTAATCGTGGTTTCAATACAGGATAAAGAATCACGACTAGGACCAAAGATCCGAAAACTTACGATAACAGTTGAACCACAAGCTAAATTCCATTAAAATACTTGAAATCCACCATGAAACCTCAACTTCGTTAATAACCAAAATTACACGAACTTCAATATTGTTACAAAAAATCTTCAACGGAACAACAAAAACAAACTTGAATATTATTAATCATTGAAAATATTGATCGTTATCTGTCAAAAATGACATGACGCTAGCGTTTTATGGCCAATTCAATCTGATTCAGTCGACTTCCATAATGCCTATTTTTGCTACACTCGACAGCCACTCGACGGCGCCGAGTGTCGAGTTACTCGACGAGAGTGTCGAGCTACTCGACGAGAGTGTCGAGTTACTCGACACTCGACGCTCGACTCGACTTACATAATTGGGGCCATAACAAAAAAATCCCATTAACACACGTGTATCATCTTCGGCTTTGCTTCGTGAAGCAGCTTGGCAGCAATTTGGTCGTTTCCTTCTGCCAACCCGAGCGAGCTGTGTTGCAGAAATTGTTTGTCACGAAAAAGAAAGAAGAAGATTATATCATTATTGCTTTCCATTGCTGATATAGCATTATCATTCGGCTCGTTGATCGCTTGTCATTTTGTCATTTGGAGATATTTTTGATTCCTTGTCCAGGAGAAATCCTGCTGTCTTAGTAATGACCCATTTAACATTCGACTCAATCGCTTTACAATGGCATTTGGTTTTTATTATTGATCGCATAATCGGGAAAATTACCAAAATTCCAGGAAATTGTTGATTGGGATTTGTTGGTCACCATGGTTTTTAGATATTTGTTCCGTCTACACCGAAATAGAACCGACCACCACCAACGAACAGCAAATAGTCGAAGTGACTTAATGTTCTCCGAAGATCTGCTGCAGAACGACATAACCGTAACCAAACTTGAAGTCATGATTATGCTGCTCCATATTTACATTAAGCATAACCTGTCCAATGCTGCACTGGAAAATTGTGGGCTTGCCGTCAATGCCGCCATCATTCTACAAGTTCTCACAGTTTGTCGATGGTAAAAAGTTCAATCGACATTTTGACTGTACAAGCTGTGGATTCTACTTAGGAACCAGTTCCAGTGACGTTTGCCGTATCTGCCAAAGCGATGGAAAATCTACATTCGTGATGTTTGACTTCATATCAAACTTACGAGACATTTTGCAGAGAAACTGGACCTCTATTATCAATGATATTATGGATGGAAAAATAATCCAGAGCCTTTCCAGAATGACTAATAGGGTAGAGAACTACTTCGGCCTAATCGCCCATAATGGGCCTATCGAGCAGAAAACATGATCCATGATTTAAGAGTTAACAAGTCAATTATGCGTTTGGTACGATACTTTAGTTCAAATGCTGCCAAACGAAGTCAATGAGAACGCGTGATATGAAGGTTTGCACCCATTATTCCCAAAAACAAAAGAAGCGCTCCGACCGAATCAATTGCAGAGTCACTTGGTGGGAATAATTTACACTCGTTCGGCAATCTGTTTGTAGGTGATGATGGCTATTTTGATTCTTTGGTGCTCGCGCGAGTTAAATGAATTTTCCCATGCACGTGTGGTCTAAAAAGTGGCATTTTCATTACTACGAGAACCATAAATCAAGAGATCTACGTCCAGGAGTGCCTGGAAAAGCGGCTGCTACCGTTCCTAAAGCAACATAATAGACCTGTGCTGTTCTGGCCGGACTTGGCGAGCTGCCACTATGAGAAAAAGTCAATCTAGTGGTACGATGCGAACAACGTGGTTGTGGTACCCAAAAGACCAC